CAGCACTGATGACCGTCCACGTAGTGGTCAACCCGGTGTAACAACACGTCGCCAGGACCGTCATATCGTCCATCAACATGTGCAAGACCTATTCGCAAGGGCCAGAGAAACAGCTTGGGTGACCATAGGAAACCACCAGCGACCAGTCAGTGACCTACCATTCGGCGACGTCTCCAAGCCAGGAACCTGTTTTGTCGATGTCCTGCCAGGAGACCCATATTCACCCAACGTCACCGCCGGGAACGTATCCAAGTGGACACAACAGCGGCAAAACTGTCGTCGGGGACAATGGAGAGGGGTTATCTTCTCTGATGAAAGTCGGTACTGCATTTCAGTGGCGTATTATTTTAAAAAAATAGGTTCAAATGTTCCATTGATACTTAAATGTCATTTCCAATATTACGACATTTCTTTTGCCTTTCAGTATATAAATAATGGCTGAAGGCGGCCATGAGGACATCCCGATTGATGATTTTGATGCTGGTGCGTATGATGGGGATTACGATGACACCTCATTTATGGGCGACACAGTTAGCAATGAACTTTTCAAATCAACGTCGACGATCAGTACGACGCGTGGAAGTCCGATAGAAACTACGTCGATCCGTTGGGGCTAGACTATTCCAAGTTTACCATCGATAAGAAGGGCACACTGTGATTGAAAGCTCACCCGGAGATCGATCTCGTGAATAAGCGCACGAGAAAACCGCTTGCCTTGTCTACGCTAGTCAGTCGTTATGGTGGGCAACTGATCCGTGATGAACTAGGCTTCATATATTACGTAGGCGCACGGCCTAAGCTTCCCCGGAAGGTCGTCCAAGATCTGCAAAAAAACAGGGCCGAACTCAGCGGTGAAGGTGATGCCAAAGAAACATCAGACAGTAACGAAAAAATATTGGCCACGTACCATGACAAACCCTTGCCTGGTTTTAGAATTTCCTGTTCGAGAACTGCGAGGCCTAGACGAAGCCTTGAAACGTGTACGCGGAGAACTCGTGAACAACATGGGCAAACTGAACGAAATTGATGAGCACATCGCTCACGAGAAAATAAAACTCACCGAAACGGAAGACGAGTCTCTGAAAACCATCATCGAAAAACGATTGCGCAACTTGCAAGATGAAAGACAGACTCGGTTGGAATCCACTTCCTTAAACCGGGAACAGCTTCGATCCCAGATCAGCCACATGCGGGAAACCATCCATCGAGTCCTAAATGAAGACACCACGTTGGCCAACAGGATCCGAATCCTTTTCTGAGAGCAAGTGATTACTATGGTCGTGTCGTTGATAGGGGGTGGGGGCACACCAACACCCACACCACCAAGTGGCGGTGATGTTAGAGACTGGATAAAAAAACATCTGAAATCCCTCGGGGAGGCCCTGGCTAAACTCGCTTGTAAGGCCGCCGAAGCCCTGCCCAGCATCCTGGGTAGCATCGTCTCGTGGCTGCTTAGCACGCTGGCTAAAACTGTCACGTGGCTCGGTCAAAACCTGTGGGCAGCCGTCGTCGCAGTGGTGGGTCTGGTGTACGTACATAGCGGCTAAGGAATTTTTAACCAAATGAGACCCAACCCGGCCGCGATCCCACCAACCACCAGCGCTGTTTTACGGTCTATGTTGCTGCTGATTGGACGCCTGCTGTTGGGATTGTGGTGGTGTGGGTTGAACCCTGGGCTCCGGGGGTGGTACTACTATATCCGTTTCACCGGTCGTGGGGGGTGGGACGTGACTCACGTTTATGTCTGGGTTGACGCCTAACTTTTGGTCGGCTGTGGCTCGGGATGTCGCCGGACGAGATAAAACTCACAACTACCGTCACAGGCATGAAGTTACCCGACCTAGTACCGTACCGAGAGCTGTGCATTCATCTCAGTCAGTTGAGCACAACGGACAACATTCAAGGTGGGCACCCTTCCACAATCCTGAGAGCCCTACCGTTGAAAATGGAGAAAAACAATGACGGTAGAACCGAGTCGTTTTCACCGCGTCAGTATAAGAGGTTAACTCGGGGCAACATCCCTGAATTGATAATATCAGTGTTAGATATAAAGCATAATCCTGTGAATATAGGATACCTCAGCATAACGCTGCACATAAAATGACTAGCGCACAAGGCCCCGGAATGAAGTTGAAAAAATGCGTCAATGTGGGGATCTCCGACCTCGGGGACACACGCGGAATCGACGACCCCGGAGTAGATGGTAAATTGTACGCCTTGCAACTGAAAAACAACATTTAAAAACGCGTTGAAGTCCCCTAGAAGAACACTAGGTGACATAGTAGATACCTCAGGAGTGGACCTCAACACTCGGTTGGACCTAGTCCGCATCGGTGATGATAGATGGGTGGTATCCCAATCGTTCGGAGGCAAACTGTTCAAGCAGTATACCCTCGTCTTCACCGACGACGACAAGTGGGTGTTGTTGCCCACTAAAGTCGACTGGTTTCTCAACATTAGGCTCGGCTCCCCCTACGTGTTCACGGAGAACAAAGACAACTACCTAAACAAAGTCGTGAACAACGGAACCCTGCTCGTGGCTTACGTCCCTGCCCAGAGACGTAGCGTAGTCATCAGCCTAGTCTCGAGTGCTACAGCCCACATGCTGTCGAGCAAGCCCTGGATGCAAAACGTGGCATTGCAGGTGGTGTCTGAATTCGAAGGTGTGGTCAACATCCTGGAGATTCTACCAGCGAACTCCACGCTGGTCATCCAAGTCTACCTAGGTGAACCACAGCGCGAAGTTGAAATCGTGAAGGGAATTAAACTCCGGTGGGGGAAACAACACCAGTATCAGGCTTGCACTGTTTACGTGCTGGTGGGTGTCGACTCCCACACCAATCTGCAGGGGGTCACCGTGACCATAGAAGACACGATATCACTCACCAAGATCTTCCTACCCGACAACATACACTTCATGGGGGTGAAGTGCACCCCTGAGAAATTATCAGAAAAACAATTGGAAACTATCTCGTAACAGTATTATAGCAATGCCCAATCGTCATTGGCCCAACACCACACTTAATGATCTAGGAGACACGGAGGGATTCGATCTGCCCGGCGAGGAAGACGCCTTGTACGTCCTACGCTTAAAAGACAACGTGTATAGGCGGGCGGCAATGGCCGATCATCTACCCAACATCACACTCGGGGGTCTAGGAGGCACAATGGGGTTCGATCTGCCTGGCGTGGACGGCACCTCGTACGTCCTGTCCTTAAGAAAAGGCATGTACGTGCGGCAGCATCTGCCATACGACTTTATAGAGCCCAAATGGTTGATCAACATGACCCTCACCGCACCTTATATCTCGCTAAACAAAGATAGGGAGGTCTCCGAAATTAGGAACAACGTTATCTGGCTTGGGGTTTTCGTTCCGAAGTATAGGATAAGTACTCAGCTACCATGGGATCACACGAGTAACATGTTAGTTGTTTCAGGCCGGGAGGACGAGTTAAGGTTTGACGTCCCCGATTGGATGTTATGACTGTGAAACCAGGCTCCACACTCGCCCTAGAAGTCTACCTCGGGTTGATTGTTGATGATACAGAACGCAGCTTTTACCCGGGGTGACAATACGCTGGGGCGCCACAAGCAGGCTCCAACGTTGCCGTATTTCATCATACGACCGGACCTCTTAACGGGTTCTATAGTCCCCTCAGTAAGCACCTTCAGAGGCTCCTCCGATGATGTTCATGTGGACGCAGAGTTACCTATTAGCCTCTCGCCTATTTCCCTGTACGATGATCTAAACCTTATAAGCCTCAAATACACTGAGCAAAAATTAAATGTCGTACGATTTAAAGATCTTTTTTAGAATATATTATATGCACACAGGATGGGCCTGTACCCAGTCGTAGAGGAAGTCGCGAAGACCCTGGAAACCGTCGATGGGTTCCGCTTGAGACAGTTATGTGATGTAAAACGCCAACTAGAACAAGACTAGCACTATGCAAGAAGTACCATAGAGCTTTCCATATCGTGGATGGGGCTGATACTGTCCTTACGGCAACCAGCATGGGACTAGGGGCGGCAGGTGTTGGGTTGTTAGCCACCATCGTGGCGCACCTATAGTGCTAGGCATTGAAAGAATAGCTGGGGTTGTAGGGGTGACAGGGTTGGTGTTTAAGTTTGCATCCTCCAGACTGCATCGTAAAGCATTGAAACACGACGAGATCAGGGTTCTGGCCAAAGCAAAGCTGAACACGGTAAGTGAGAGTATTTTCATAGCACTCACTGACAGTAAGATCTCAGAGGAGGAATTTCGTTCAATCCTCTCTGAACTCGACATGTACCGTAAGATGAAACAAGAAATCTGGTCCAAGTCTCGTAAGTCTGCTATCAGCGAAGACGAGAAAAAAAAGTACATAGAACAAGGGGTACGAAAAGCCCAGCAAGCCTTTCTTACGAACACCAAAGAGATCATAGGCGATTCACATTAAACTGTTTCATTGAGGTCAACACGACATAGGGCGGGCACAATAGTGCCACGTGATCAGGAAAGTGTAAGTTTGCGGTCATAGTGACCGGGAATTTCGAAGTTAACTGGGGATTCAAAAGTAGTATATACAATGGCGGCGAGATCTAAAGGCCTGACAAAAGCTTATTTATGAAATAAAGCTTTACAGCGACCTTTTTTGAAAGTGATCTCGGACTATCATTGTATATACTACTGAGAGTGTTCTGAATCTGTATGCATGGATCTAAATAATAAACGAACAAGACGGTCGCTCTTATGTCCCTTGTTTGTGGTTAAGGATTTTTAAATGAGTGAAAGTGAATCGTGCAAAAACTGCCAGCTTTTGTAAGTATTCACACATTATAAAGTAGTGATCTCTGATTTACAGACCTCCGTGGAAGTCATAGAAAGGGATTAATCTGGATCATCTATGTAACCTACACTTGATTTGGATGTTGTTAAAAGTGATAGATCTGGCATACTGTCGTGACCACATGGAAAACGTTTTAAAAAAAGGATGTTAAATTATCATCCTATTTTTAGTTTGTAGCCCTGGTGTCTTTGGCGATAGCTGCAATCAGTTCTGCCATTGCCTACAAGCAACATGTGATCCAGTCAGAGGTGTGTGTCCTGGAGACTGTAAACCAGGATGGCAGGGGAGACAGGTGTGATACAGGTGAGGAAGATCCAGTCAGTGGTGTGTGTCCTTCAGGAGTGGTGTGTGTCCCGAAGACCATAGACCAGGGTGGTAGGGGGAGACAGGTGTGATACTGTCAACCAGGGTGGCAGGTGGGAGACAGGTGTGATACAGGTGTGAGGGTGATTCAGTCAGTGGTGTGTGTCCTGGAGACTGTAGACCGTCCTGGAGACTGTAGACCAAGTGGGTGGCACTGATGTGTGTCCTGGAGACTGTAGACCAGGGAGACAGGTGTGATACAGGTGAGGAGATCCAGTCAGTGGTGTGTGTCCTGGAGACTGTCAACCAGGGTGGCAGACCAGGAGGGACAGGTGTGATACAGGTGAGGAGTGATCCAGTCAGTGGTGTGTGTCCTGGAGACTGTAGACCAGGGTGGTAGGGAGAGGTGTGTGGTGTGAGGTAGAGTGAGGTGATACCAGGGTGGCAGGGAGACAGGTGTGATACAGGTGAGGAGATTCAGTCAGTGGTGTGTGTCCTGGAGACTGTGTCCTGAAGAGACCAGGGTGGCAGGGACACAGGTGTGATACAGGTGAGGAGATCCAGTCAGTGATGTGTGTCCTGGAGAAGATTCAGTCAGTGGTGTGTGTCCTGGAGACTGTAGACCAGGGTGGCAGGTGTGGTACAGGTGAGGATCCAGTCAGTGATGTGTGTCCTGAGACTGTAGACCAGGGTGGCAGGACAGGTGAGGGTCAGTCTGTGGTGTGAGTCCTGGAGACTGTAGACCAGGGTGGAAGGGAGACAGGTGTGATACAGGTGAGGTGTCAGTCTGTGGTGTGTGTCCTGGAGACTGTAGACCAGGGTGGCAGGGACATACAGGTGTGATACAGGTGAGGAGACCAGAATTCCAGTCAGTGATGTGTGTCCTGGAGACTGTAGACCAGGGGTGGCAGGGACACAGGTGTGATACAGGTGAGGAGATCCAGTCAGTGATGTGTGTCCTGGAGACTGTAGACCAGGGTGGCAGGGAGACAGGTGTGATACAGGTGAGGTGATTCAGTCTGTGAGTGTGTGTCCTGGAGACTGTAGACCAGGGTGGAAGGGACACAGGTGTGATACAGGTGAGGAGATTCAGTGATCTGTGGTGTGTGTCCTGGAGACTGTAGGACCAGGTGTGATACAGGGGACTATTCAAGTGTGATACCCAGGGTGGAAGGGAGACAGGTGAGGAGATCCAGTACAGGTGAGGGAGATCAGTCAGTGTGTGTTTCCTGGAGACTGTGGCAGGGTGTGATACAGGTGTGATGCAGTGTGAGGTGATCCAGTCAGTGGTGTGTGTCCTGGAGACTGTAGACCAGGGTGGCAGGGACACAGGTGGATACAGGTGAGGTAGATTCAGTCTGTGGTGTGTGTCCTGGAGACTGTAGACCAGGGTGTCAGGGACACAGGTGTAATACAGGTGAGGAGATTCAGTCAGTGGTGTGAATACAGGTGAGGAGTGATCCAGTCAGTGGTGTGTGTCCTGGAGACTGTAGACCAGGGTGGGAAGGGAGACAGGTGTGATGATTCAGTCTGTGGTGTGTGTCCCTGGAGACTGAAGACCAGGGTGGTCCAGGGTGTGATACAGGTGAGGAGTGTGGTAGGGAGACAGGTGTGATACCAGTCTGTGGTGTGTGTCCTGGACCAGGGTGGCAGGGACATAGGTGTGATACAGGTGAGGAGATTCAGTCAGTGATGTGTGTGTCCTGGAGACTGTAGACCAGTCTGGCAGGGACACAGGTGTGATACAGGTGAGGAGATCCAGTCAGAGATGTGTGTCCTGGAGACTGTAGACCCAGTGGTGTGGAGTCCTGGAGACTGTAGACCAGGGTGGAAGGGAGACAGGTGTGATACAGGTGAGGGAGGGACTGGAGACCAGGGTGGCAGGGACATAGGTGTGATACAGGTGAGGGAGATTCAGGTGTGGACCTTGGATAGCGGGGACACAGGTGAGTCCTGGAGACTGTGATTGCAGGTGAGGTGATCCAGTCAGTGGTGTGTGTCCTGGAGACTGGAGACCAGGGTGGCAGGGAGACAGGTGTGTAATTCAGTCAGTGGTGTGTGTCCTGGAGACTGGAGTCCAGGGTGTCAGGGACACAGGTGTGATACAGGTAAGGAGATCCAGTCAGAGGTGTGTGTCCTGGAGACTGTAGACCAGGGTGGCAGGGGAGACAGGTGTGGATACAGGTGAGGAGATTCAGTCAGTGGTGTGTGTCCTGGAGACTGTAGACCAGGGTGGCAGGGACACAGGTGTGATACAGGTCAGAGGAGATTCAGTCAGTGGTGTGAGTCCTGGAGACTGTAGACCAGGGTGGCAGGGAGACAGGTGTGATACAGGTGAGGAGATTCAGTCAGTGGTGTGTGTCCTGGAGACTGTAGACCAGGATGGCAGGGAGACAGGTGTGATACAGGTGAGGAGATCCAGTCAGTGGTGTGTGTCCTGGAGACTGTAGACCAGGATTGCAGGGACACAGGTGTAATACAGGTTAGAATACTCCGTCACCGGTGTGTCGTGGAAACTTTTACAGACAGGTGAGGAGTGAGTGAAGTGGTGTGCATACACTAATAAGAAATATCTTCAAATTACGTAAAATCTGTCAAAGATATACAGTAAAAACAACCATAGATGTACATTTCAAACCAGCATGTTGCTATAAGATGATATCAATGTACATAACAATACACCATAACAACGAGCTAACTAACAGCCAAATGAGGTGATTTTCCAACACTGGGGATTGAGTCTGTGGTATCCGTTCTGCAGACAGTACACCAGGGAGGCATACAAGGATATTGTACGGTGCATTTGAAATGAAAATGGTTTTATTTGTTGAGGTTTTTGAATGCCATAGTCATTTTGGATGTAATAAATGTAATTTAAGTTATTTACTAGCTTTCAGATAACACTGAAATTGTGTTTTATTGTGTTTAATTTGAGTAATGCGTCAAGAAGCTAAATGTGTCAACATATTCTTAACAAAGATAATGAAATATTTTAATGTTCTAGACCGCGTGCAATCATTATTGATGATGAGGGGATGGTAGAGTGCTAAGCAAGTTTCTTTGTAGGTTATAGAAAACCAACGTAGAGTATTTAATGAACTGCATTTCCGTGCTGTTGGTACACACTGACACAATATCAGGTAATCACGTGATTCCACGTGATTCCTTTACAATAACTTTCATAAATATCTGCCATAATGTAGCTTATCTTCGACGAGCAAATAATGATTTTAAAAATCTTCATTCTGTTTTCACTGTAGAATGTAAAGCTGATCACTATGGAGTCAACTGTATGAACACATGCACTGACAGGAAGTGTTCTGGTGTCAACTCGTCATGTGATCGCCACAGTGGGTCATGTGACAGGGGATGTCTTCCTGGTTGGACAGGTGTGGACTGTACACAAGGTACAACTTGATATTTTAATCATAGAAAACTTTGAATCTACTTCCCACCCAAATGCTTCACCTATCTATTATATTTAGGAGATAGACGTACTGTGTTTGGAAATTAGATGAATGTTTGACCGAATTGATAGTGTCTAAATTTCAATTGAAGCCGAACGCGTAGGGTTAGGTTTCAAAGGAGTAATTTAGAGACTATCAATTCGGTCTAACATTCATCTAATTTCCAAACACAGTATGTTTATCTCCATTCTACCATAACCAATTTAAAATCGAACATCTTCGTTTCGCGGAAGACACTGCGTAATCCGGCAAGTGACGTGAGGCGAATTGAACTCATCTGTAAAGGGAATGGTAGGTGCCGTTCGGGTTTTTTAAGCATTGCCACATAAAAATAATTCTGTCTGAAGAAAACAAACTACAGTTTATTCAATGCAATAATGTGATACCTAACAGTTTGGTTTATATAATCCCAACTTCACAATACCGAAACCCGCCTATTGGTTTGCGTGCCGTGCGACTCTACCCCCAGGCCACACTATAATGGTATCGTCTGACCTACTTATTTTCTTGGAAGTGCTTGTTGACAGCGCAACAGTTTGAAATGGCGGACGAGCCAATGTTTACATTTTGAGAAAGTTTGAAATTTGAAGTGACTGTGGAAACTACTTGACTGACTGTCGAATCTGAACCCTGCAGAATCGAAGAATAGATCCCTTTCTGATCGACCTACGACCTGTAACACATCAAAGACTGTTGATTTTTATTACCGGCGTGTGTCGATCATGATTTCACGTGCCTCCACCCCATCATGCGACGAAAGAGTGTCAGTGCTGGTTCAAGTTTTTACTGATTTATAAGTGCGATATTGTTTGTTTATGTTTGGAGCTGTGCATTGTAATTGAGTTTGAATATTTATATAATACAAGGTAATGTGATAGTGAGGTTCCCTAATAATTGATGAGGAAAAATCATATAATTGTATTGTTAGAGTTTGATAAATGCTTTATAAGAATTTCCATCATGTCTTTTGTGTTGATATTAGCCATGTTGGTGGTCAAGCTGAAGTAGTGCGGCAGTGTTGTATACGTTCGCACTGAAGCGGTCATGAAATCAGACGCATTTTCAATCCAGGATTGATGGTGTCTAATTTTCTTGATTGGCCGATCAAATTCGAGTATTTCACGTAGTCATGGTAGAATACTCGTTATTCAACCTTCCTTTAATATCACACCTTCAAGGAAGCCGACACTACGAAATATATGTGTTCATTAACTCACGCTATCTCGGGTTGAATGACACCCTTGGACATCTGTATAATATGCATATATATATACGTCATATGTCAGTACAGAAATAATATTTAACGTCTGAGGCAGAAATTGTGGACTTCAAACCATACATTATCGTTCAGTATTAGCAAAGACACATATTGTGACCACTCTCTCTTACCCAGCTTCCTCCGTTCTGAGCCATTGAGTGATTGTGTGCTGTCTGTGTGGGTTAAGTGAGATACTTTACAAGATAGTGTTTTCCGTCACAGGATGCCACAACTGAACGAGTGGATCTGAGTGCAGCATGACATGTTCAACAGAATGTATGATCCCTACTCTGTTAGCATCAAAACAGTGCTCATTAGTTTCATGCTAATCTAACATCCCATTCCAAAGCGGAGTTGCACTCGTTCAACATATAACTGATTTGTCTATGTGTATTGTTTAATTATTTAAAATGAGACAGCATTTCCTTCACAGAATGTAACAACGCAACCTATGGACAGAACTGCAGCATGGCGTGTTCAGAAAGGAAATGTGCAGGAGATTCGTCTTGTGACCATGTGAGGGGAACATGTGTTGCTGGATGCGTGTCTGGATGGATGGGTGAAGACTGTTATGAGGGTAACGATGTAATTTAGTCGCCTTACACATATACATGTAGCTGTTTACATGTAAATACGATGAAAACATGAATGAAGGATCAATAATGAAGAAATATGATGTACCAGTCGTGCTTCAGCTGTCAGAGTATAAAGCTCCAGATATGTCCCATAACGTGTGTTTCCAAAATGTTAACATGTTTTGTTACTGTTCTTATGGGTAGTGTACCATGATGCATCAAACTTCCAAATACACAATTTGTTTGTACAATATATCCATTAAATGTGAATATTTGAGAAAAATGTTATCAAAGAAAGATGCTGCTTTTTCGTTGGTAGCTATTTGAGAAGAAGTGCTATAGAGCCCATAGTTCAAAGCAAATGTGCCTTGTTTACATCAGTTTTGTTTTACTTTGGAACGTTTGACAGTATTTGCTCTATTGTCTGCCTGTGTTGTAAGCGTGTGACAGCCAACATTACGGAGCTAACTGCGTTAAGACCTGCGCCTCCAGACACTGTGTGGGGAACTCTTCCTGTAACTCAACAGGGGATTGTGACAATGGATGCCAGGAAGGCTGGGCACAGGCTGATTGCACAGGTAATAATATTGATTGGTAAGAAAATACTTCCGTAAAAGCCAATACCCATCAACGATTTCGGATAAATGTTTATCAGGATTAATTTAGGTTTGAATCATTCATTTCAATAGCTTCCTCGTTGTGATTGTTCATCCACTAGTATGCAGTAGAGGCCGTTTTGGTGCCGAATGTAATGAGGAATGTGGACAATGCGCTGGTAAAGACACGTGTGACGCTCGTTCAGGAGAGTGTCACTCCGGCTGTGCTGAAGGAAACATTGGGCCCCAGTGCAAAGGTCAGTTTCACAGAATTAAATGAAAACTCATCACATGTATAAGAAACATGTTTCATATGTACACTGTGTGTGATGAGTTATCATGGTATATCAGTATTGTATATCATGTAAAGTCATGAAGACCATCATATTTTCAATTACCACTGGCCAGAGTTCACGAAGACGTGTAATCAGAAACACAGCATATTTCTCAGAATCCCCGACAAACTCTCATCAAACTGTTTCAATGATAATATTGTCGATGTGCAAACTGGATATCTAACTATGGCACTTTTACAATGCTAGACATTTTCACTTAAAGCTGACACAAACACACATTTTATCAACGAGACATACATGTTGTCGCATTGATCTATCAGAAACTGCCCAGTCCGTCCCTGTCGCAGCTGTAGTAGGAGCTGCAGTGGGTGTGGTGCTGGTGGCCCTGGTGATCATTCTCATTGTGCTGCTTATCAGGTCGGTTACTTTGTTACGTTTGAATTTTCATTTGATAAATTGTTGAGACTGTATTTGCAAGCAAATATGTAATGTATATTTAACAGAAGAAGACGTCAGAAAGGAAAGGGGTCTTCTCACGATGAATCAGTCCTACATGAAGCATCACATATCCATTCAAAGAAGAAGAACCGTCATGGCACGTATTGTAATAAGACTCTTTTCAAACATGATTTGGCAAATAGAACGCGTTTGTTTATTTTATTAACCTATTCATTTTATAAGACAGTTGTTAGAAAACATGGTAGCATAAGTGGTGTTTTAGTGATCAACTCATGTTATAATCCCTTCGGTCATATGTTTTACAATCTCTTATATTTTTGGAATCTCTTTTAGCCGATATACGAAGCAAACATAAAGTTTTATCGATCACAACTTCTGGGTTACTGTATATAGGGGCGTTTTGGACCGTTATGAAGCTGGAGTGCCTACAGCCAGGTTAAGTGAGGTATATACGTACGGTATGTTGAGATGAATAGCAGATCAACTTTAATAACCACAGGTAAAAGATAAGAAAGAGCACATAGATTAGATGAAGACAGATGAACAATGACAACAACAAATGGAACTCACGATATGAATATAGATGTACAGTAAGTATAAGGATTAAACATATTTTGCAGGTGGTGCAGGCTGATTAGAATTACTTTTAAAATATCTATTTCTTGATTTCTTCACATAACACCTTTGATCGTTGTTGATCAGACCAGGCTCTGTGATAGCGAATATCTGTATCTTCTTCGAGTTTTCTTTTGTACAGTCGTGATAAGTAGATGTTTTAGGCCTTGTCAAAATGAATTCGATGGTTTGGGACTTTTGCTGGTGGGCCGATAGGGGTGATGTGATGTCTGCAGTTTGAAGTTGGTTGATGGTTATATCTACGGGGCGGGAACTGTCAGTTGACACAATTGGTCATATATATGACTTTTGGAGTTACTCGTTTAATGGAGGTTTTCGACGATTAGAGCGGAGGATGTTAATAAGGAGTGGGGAGACAGTGAAGTCAGGAGAGACCTCCTCCTACCACACTCCTGTCCAAACTAAAACAGACCAGGTCAAAATGAACCTCCTTCAGAATTACCCCACCCTACATTGACATGAATTCTTTTATCCAATTATCTATGTGTTACTTGACATCTTCTACCTGTGGTTGTTAAAGTTTATGTCCAGCCTACCGCAACACACCCTCTCTTAGCTTGCTTGCAGCTACCTCTTACTAATAAGAGTGTAAGAATCTGTCATGAAACAACGTCACCATATGCAATAAACCAGAACTTCATATCAATAAAGTTTTTTCGCATGTACCCATCAACTTCTAGAATGCCAACCAAACTGTTGACATGCGCAACTGATTATTCTCTGGCGTTGCTGCTTTGAATTCGTGTAAGGTAATCCAGTTATAATCAGTTATATACTTATGAATACTGATGTGTATATTGCATTGGACACAGATGAAGGAAATACATACATGAATGTTGGATTTGATGATGAAGCGAAGCCAGGCTTGTCATCCAAGAAGACGCCGACCACTTCTGCACATGTGGCTTCAGGTTCTCCACCACCAGTTGGTCATCAGGGAGAGATCAGTAAAATACAAAGTGGGAACAAACGTGACAACGTACTTGTTGATCGTCCAGGCGACAGTCAAGATCAGCCCGACATGGAGGATGAAGAAGATTATGATGCCCATGCTCAGATAGCACCGCAGGAGGCACCAGGTCATGCTGACATTAATTACTACAATCTGGGTGATGCCAGACCACGTCAGGCTATCCCCGTGTCCTCATTTGCAACGCGAGTGCAAGAGATGGAAGACCACCCTGAAGTGTCTGAAGAAGAGTTCAAGGTGAGTTTTTAACTTCAGTTCATCCTCTAATCCCGTGAAGAGATCCCGTAAGAGGAGACTAACGGGATCGGGTGGTCAGGCTCGCTGACTTGGTTGACGCATGTCATCTTATCCCAGTTGCGTAGATCGATGTTCACTGGATTGTCTGGTTCAGACTTGATTATTTTCAGACTACCGCCATAGATCTGGAATATTGCTGAGGGCGGCGCAAAACGTAACTTACTCACTCACTCATCCTCTAATCTAGGGTACTTCTGAAATAGTCATATGTTTAATCATAATTGTTTATGATCTTTGGTGGTCATACGCAGAAAGCATCCTGTCAGAAAAGATATAGAGACGCTATGATGTGCATCTTTTATTTGCGGATGTATTTTGAATGCACACGGTCAATTGGAAATACCTCATGGCTTCGTTTGACACGTACACAAAGTGAAAAACGAGCCTCCGGTATCTTTGCACGTATATGGGTAGTTATAAGTTTACCATGTATTTTGAATGAGACTTTGTTTTGATTCAGATATCGTCCGAGAAGTCACGATTACTTTTGCACGATTGCAAACTCACGATTTGGGGTTAACAGCCCTCGAATCATCCCCACGTCAAAATAGAGGTGACCTTTCATACCCTATAGTACACGGAGTAGCATACATATTGCTATATTGAACAGTATCAACCTCATGTTGATATTGTTTTCCTTTCCTCCTTCCAGCGTCTACCCGATGGTTTCATGCATTCCTATGAGGAATCCCAAAAGTCGAAGAACAAAGGGAAGAACAGGTTCAAGGGATATTACCCATGTAAGTGTAGAACACTGTCTACAATACACGCATACAAGATCTTCTATTAAGACCTCGCTACTATCTTCTGTACATCCTTTTGGCAGATGACTACAATCGGGTGATCTTGCATGACGATAATGATGACAGTGGAAAGGACTACATCAACGCCAGCTACTTGGATGTGAGTTGCATCTACATCACATTTTCTGAAAGTACAATAAAACCACCGTGAATATGTTTGCAACTGTATTGTTTGGATTGGAGCTAGGATCGAAGACATGTTCCGTTTACATTAAACGCTGTGAGATAACTAGAATCCTGTCAAAAGTCCTGTTTAACCCAAGCCGCTGATTCTTGACAAATTGAATATTCATGTGAACAATGTAGCAAGTATTTTTCACATTTTAACATACAGTTGTTTCAACTTCCATTTACAAATGTTTGAACTGTACATTATTCGTTTTAGTGACGTTCTGTTTTATTTTTTCGTTGTCTTCGTACAGGGTTACAAGACTGAGAAGCGTTATATAGCAGCACAAGGTAATAAGGATAAGACGTAACATTTTAATCCAAGGAACAGAATTTAGAGGAATAAAAACTAAGTAAATATGTCATCTTTCTTTGTTCATCATCCGTGTTATGTTATGACCATGCTTTTGCAAAGTATTAATTAATAATTTGATACAGGTCCATACAAACCGGATATACTAGTTGACTTCTGGAAGATGATATGGCAGGAGGGATGCAACACTGTTGTCATGGTAACAGGACTGGTGGAGGGAAGCAAGGTATGACATTGATTTTCCGAGGTAATTTGACTTTCTGGCTAAATTTAGGTTACAGTGTAAGCATTAATGTTCCTTTTATGCAGGCGAATTTAAAACACCGCATGCGTTGTTGTGTGATCCTCTATTTATACACGCAATCTCTGTTAAAGATGAAGTGTCTACAATACTGGCCAGAGAAGGATACCAAGACGTTTGGTGACATCAAGGTAACTCTGGCAGCACGGATACAACTAGCAAACTACACCATCACCAAGCTGGCTGTTCAGAATGGGAAGGTAGGTTGATGCTGTGGAGCTATGTTAGCTATGAGTAAGCCCTGTTGGCTGTATCTAATCCACACAATGTGTGATTCTAAATAGACATCATTGTAGGGAGGCTGCAAACGTGTATAATTTGAACAGAGTATTCAAGAGTACATTACGATTGTCAGCAGCATCCGCTCTTGGGTGATACATAATCGTTTATGACGACAGGAAGGGAAGAAACAGGACGTCAACCACCTCAACTTCACCAGCTGGCCAGACCATGGTGTGCCGGACACTGCTGCCCTGCTGGACTTCATGTGGAGGGTCAAGGTCATGTCTGGACAACAAACTCAGCCAATCATAGTCCACTGCAGGTTCGGTTCAACAACAACCACACAAGGCGCACATCTTGCACCAATTTCAAAGACTGATTTTATTATTTCGTCCACAATGTGCGGTCTGCAGTACAAGAAACCATAACACCGACATGTACACACCGACTACACCTGCCCCAGGTGGTACACGTCACAGCCACGAGAACAAGTCAGTTATTGTCCTGAAAAGACCACCCTGGGAACATTTGGTAGCAAGTAGCAATAGGACATCATTTCTGTTACTTATGCGTCACATTTGGTAATGCCCTGTCGAAATCTACGATAAATTGTTTTAAAACGCTAATTAGGCCTTAATTAATGTAACCTTTAGAACGCAACCTTTAGCAAGGGTGGTATGAAGTTCTTTGAAACCTACGTTGAAAAGGTCTGGTCGATTGATTATAATATAGAAGCAGTTTTGATAGTATCTGAGTTGCTCAAAATGACGGATACTGTGTGCGTGCATCAAAGAATGAAAGTTGGCACTCATATCTATTATTATTTCATCTTTTTCTTCGTCAGTGCTGGTATAGGGAGAACAGGGACCTACATCACTATTGACAGCCTCGTGGAGCAGGCAAAGACAGAGGGCGTTGTGGACGTCGTCAGCTTCGTCTCCAACATGAGAGGGCAGAGGAAGAACATGATACAGACAAAGGTAATCGTAATCTAAACAATCATAACAATTGTTATTGTTTTACTTGTTATTGGTAGAATATAGGTGTTTTGTGTTTATCGATCACTACTTCGAAACATCTTGATATACCCAGGAACAGTACCTGTTCATCTACCAGGCGTTGGCAAGGGCAGTGTCAGAAGGGGACACAACTCTTGATTCCACCACCATCAGACACCTTGACCTTGATCAGGTGTTAGATGTTACTATGGGCAACAGGACAGTACAACAACATCTCGAGGTGGGCATACCTATTCACACCAATTCACCTTTTCTCAGTTCTGTTCTATCGTAAAAGAGCAGAATCATCTACAAAATGTGTTGGTCCAGTCAGCGTTGATACACACAGTTGACAAATGCCGGGGATACTAATGTGCTCTCATGTATCCATATACTTTTCAACAATTTCCAAAATATACTTTTATCAAAAACTTTAATGACCATATGCAATCCGAGAATTAGAACTCAGTATGATCAAATGTGAATAATTGTCGTCAAATGTAATGATTATTTTATCTTCAAAATCGACCTGTGAAGATGGATCGGGTTAGAATTGGTCTTCCGGAGCACATGCTTGTCGTAAGTGGCGACTTACGGGATCGGGTGGACAGGCTCATTGACTTGGTTGACACATGTCATCGTATCAGCTGTGTATAAACTATAGATCGATGTTCATGCTGTTGATCACTGGATCGTCTGGTCCAGACTCGATTATTTCAGATCGCCGATAGCTGGAATATTTCTGAGTGCGTCATTGAACTGTACAACAATCAATCAATCACTCAATATCTTCAAAATCTTTATTTCAGGCCTTACAATACGGAGGTGGAGGTGAGCAGGGTGTTATCCTAATTGCTATAGTGAGATGATATTATATATAATGTGATTTATTAAACAATATTAAAATATAACGGTATTTCTGAAGTGATATTCTGCATGCACATCAATATCCAAACATTTGTCAAAGATTAAACTTGGGGAATAGCCTCTGAGTTAAAGTTCATTAAATCATTGTATTTACATTTAAGGATATGTCGATGAAGCAGTTGTCACAAGCGTCCCTGTAAGTAGGACTGACTGACTGAGTTTGGTTTTACGTCGCTTTTAGCAATATTCCAGCAACATCACGGCGGCTGTAAGTAGGAAGCATTATACAATATATCAATTGTTCACATTCTAGTGGTACAAACACTAAATTTATCCCGAAATATTTAAATGCAGAAAAATAAAGGGAAAACAAAACATCAACGATGCATATATAAGTCATACAATTCATAATTTGTATGGTTTTCTAACATATTTTATCAATAATCCTTTAACAGTCGTATGCATCTCTGAATGGCTTCTTCATTATGACGTCACATCCAAAAAGAGAGGAAGTGTGGAATCAGGTTTACAACAGTGACTCGCACACCTTGATAACCTATGCCGCAGGTGTTCTGGTTAGTACATATGTCTGACCTGTAGCTAAACAATAAATTCGTGCTTTTGTCACTATCTTTTGTCACTATTACTTTCCTGAGGAATTATTTACATTTCGTCAGGAAAATGTACGGTGTTGTTCTTTTAGTCTGATGACTGTGTCTTTGAAAAACAACAATCACTATAAGAACATAGTGCAGGTGTCTTTTACAGAATATTATGTGAAACGTCCGTACTTTAACTTTGTAATAACATGAGCATGTTTGTCCAGTTGACTGTTACCGATGTGCAAAGGACGTATAGGTACACGATCTAATGGTAACTCAATTGTAAATTTACTGTCGATATTGACGTGATATAGGGTTCACAATCTAACTGTTCTTCTTTTAAATTAACTATTCCGTCCAGGACTATCTCCCGTCAGTAGATGCTCCTGTTTCCACCGCCAGGTTTGAAGTGAGCATGTCCAAGTCCACAGCGCTGTCCGATGATATCCTTCTAAACACAGTGGAGCTGAAACTAAAGGTTGCACAATCGTTTGAATATTATCATTGTTATTGTGTATAGCATTAGCTCACGAGTGGCAGTGCAATTGTAATATCGCAATATATTTTACCATCACGAACAACTCCTTGTCGAATCTGAAGGAGATTAGTACTGTTGTAAAATAACTGAATAAATCTTGGTGGCTGAGACAAGTAACTTGGCAGAGTGTAAGCCCAGTCCGTACATTTGTCCGTGCAGTCCACCGTCATACAGCTGGTATAAATTTGCTGAGCGCGGCCTAAACCTAAACTTACCTACTCGTGCAGTTCAATTCTCCTGTCGAAACTCACGACCATGAACCTAAACACATTAAAATATATACAGATTAACAGCAAGAAACAAATAGTCAAGCTATATATGAAACATAACCCTTAACTTTACTGTGTCATTAAACCATTAAATATTTCAGGATAACGATGACACTACTGTCATTCAACATTACCACATCACGGGAAGTGCAGGGGACCCCAGTTTCAACTTGCTGACTGACAACTTCCTCACATGGACGAGTGATCCAAAACGAGGCTTAAGCACCGTTGTCACAGAGTATGTAGGCCTTCATACATTTTAATACAAATAAATGTAGGGGTTAATGATATGCGGATGTAAAGGCCATAGCCATTTACACTGTTAACATAACAACATCAAGAATGAAAATAGTGTCATATTTATTCATAGAATCTTATCGAACGTTTAAGTGTGAATTGAGTTATACTTATTGGAACGCTATTTGGTTATCATAGGTCTGTAGAAGAATTTCGTCACTTGGTGCTTCTGTTGAACATCGCCAGCAGACTGCAAGACGATGGTAGAGTGGACGTCATTAACAACATGCGGCAGCTTTACACACGGGTTGGAGGTTCGCAGTTCACCGAGGTAAATAAGACATGCAAGTGTGTATCGTTTTATCAAAACACATACACGAATATCATTCTCTGTTCCCAATGACCACATGACGGCTTCATATCTAATATGTTGCAAAACACAGTTTACCAGTTTGTCAAAAGTTCGTATCGCTTCATTTAGAGAAATGTATAGCATATTTCAATATATCTGTATTCCGTAAACTTGCATTTGTTCAACAGAACTTTGTTAGAATTTTCGTCATTTTGAACCTGTTGTCTGCTTATAAACAAGGGTGGGTATTTGCTGACTAAGCTCTCATTTATTTTCAGACTGACGTGAGACTCTGTCTGGAGTTTACTCGGCGGAGGATCGAAATGCTTGGAGTTTACGCCAACTTCTGACACATGTAGATTAAAGCATCGCAGGCTGTACACGTGGACCCTGCATGTACCCCAACATGTACTCAGACCGGAGTTGTGCTCAATGAACATGAACTGCAAAACAACCTGACATTTTGAACCATGTAGAAAGATTTCTATATATTCCAGAAATGTGTGTCTTAATCCAAAGGTGCCTGTTATTACTTATTCTTAGGTGTGCTGCATCACTGGTTAAACTATGAATTGCTGCAAAATGGATTGAATGTTGTTGTTTTTAAATTAATAACTGCTTTAAAATACTTGCAATTTGCTGAGGACATTGCTAATGTTTGTAATATAATTAGATGATTGCTGTAACTTGTACATTAAGTTTTGTAACTTGTATATTAAGTGGAAAATAGACAAGAAGAAAGTAATCACATCTTGGATAACAACTTATTTAGTTTTACTTGAACAGCGACGTTTCGTTTGACCTTTGCCAAGGTATCAGGATCAATACTGAAGTCCGTGTTTCAGTAAAATATAAGCTGTAAGCTTCAGGTTCCGACGCCTGTACAACCTGGCGTTAGTTGTATGAAAGTTCATAATCCTAGGAACTAACATATGGTAACATCCCAAGTTGTCCTTGGGCGCAAGACAACATAGATTTATATTCTGCTTCTGTATCTTTACTTATCACAGTGTGAGCTGATATTGTACTGTTTTGCAAACCGAGTATATTGTATGCATTACCGTTTCTTGACTACTTCCCTTGTGTACAGCATCTCGTTAAGGAAAACAAAGACTATACATACATGTACAGTACTACACACACACACACACACACACACACACATTGTGGATTTCTTTATATATGTACTACTGTGCACTGCTGATCTTCGCCCCTTTATACACACACCCACTCTCTATTATTTTCTCTTTTTTCTCTCATACACACAGACACAAACACATTTATGGACTGTTAGTTAATGTAGTTGTATTGTCAACTACAGGACTAAGCGAATTTGGGCGGACTCGACATACATGTATTCTTACTCTTCCTTTTGAGCTAGTTCTCCGTCGTCATACCCGATTACATTAGCAATAGAAACTTCGCACCCCTCATTTATTCTGGTAAAGAAACATAATCTGTAAAGTACGCTTAACGCGGAATGTACGCGTAATACTTTGTGAACACAAACATAGACATACACCTGTGTGAACATTTATAACAGGACTTCGTTTGTGAACTTCACTATATTTCCTAATGATTCACGTTTTAGACATATTTTATGCACAAATAAACTATGGCTTATTGTGTTATCTTTGAGTATTTGTTGTTTTTCATTGCTCCGTGAAAGTCGCTATGAAAGAGAGTATCAATTCAGTGTGATTGGACCGTTTATTTTTTCAAGGCCAGGACGTTTCCTAACGGTTATGGTTGGTTGCACTAAGGTTCTCTACACTATTACCTTCGTTAATTAATGGACTGGTCCAAATGTACTAATCCAAACACAAAGAGAAGAGTTTATGGATAATGACAATAACTGTATTTTATATTGTTTATGTTGGAAAAACAATGTTAGGAAGGAAGTAACTCCATTAGGTTAATGAAAACTCATAAACAAAAAATATTCCATGACTGTATATACATGTCAACTGCAACTTGTTGAAACATTTGAAGAAACTGAGATTCATTACCAACACCTTGAAATAACCAAACATTACCAAATCAATTTGAAAACAATAAATTACGCACATATGAAACATAGTTCTCGTAACCACAATTATCGTAATACATTAGCATATCATAAGCTTTTTCTTGGAATTCTTTGTTGATGCATATTTACAAGTTTAAGCCAGTATTTTATGAAACGCCGTTGTGCATTTATATACATTGGGTAACGTCCACATTCACCATAAACAATTACATTTGGTGTTTGGGGACCAACATTTAAGAACTTCTTACATGCAGTTAAATGTACATTTATTAATACCCCATACTTCGGCACCATACAAAAGGATTGGTTGAATTTGGGTATCAAATATTTTGAAAAATACAGAATAGTCAACAGTACATTATCTAATCTCTCTTCTAAAACAACAATTTGAGTTTTCTCCCGATTAACTGTCAACATTAGTATTCTGATCAAAGTATATCTGTACAAATGTGAAAACAATCTCGTTAGTTTATGGGACAGGTTCATTATATCAGTGGGTAAGACTAGGTTGTAATCACAGTCATGCCTGATTGATTTTGTCTGACAATTGGGATGTATGACTTTTGGGACGTCTAACTTTGGTAACACACCTCATTTTTATATTACTGATATTTTATATGTCATGTGAGCCACGTGACTATTTGCTTATAACCTTGTCACATGAATATTAGAACAGTTCCATGAACGCCCAGATCTGGTACTGAGTGTGCATTAACAGAATTAGAAAGGTCATTGTTTTAGACAACACTATATTCATTTTTCTTTTAACTGAGACACGTTATCGACCAACCACACCTTATTTTTTCGAGCATCCGGCAGATTAGGTAGATTTTTTGTGAAACATGTACTCAAGCCTGACTTTTGTTCAGCTAACATACACTGCAAAGACATTTTGTACCAGTAACATTTTCAAATTATGATCTAATACATATGAAAATGTATGAGTTAGATTTTAGAGGAGTCAGATAGTACACAGGCAGTATCCGAGCCACAAATCATATGAGATTGCACATAGTAAAAGTGAAGGACACATTTTTCGCTGCGCTTGAAAGCGTGTCGACACTCTGAATCCAACATTCGGGGATTGCAAACAATAACATACAATAAAATCCTTTTTGGGCAAAAGAAGTGTCCACATGCATGAAAATACTTTCACGATATTCACGGAATGTTTTGAAAGCTGTATACCATTAAACCACTTGACTCAATTTTACACAAAGGACACAAATAAACATGCATATCAGATATTTACATTGTATGTACTCAAATTCCCGCTTATAGACTACAACGCGTATTTTGACAGTGAGCAGCATGAATTGTACCTGGGAAACAGGTGTCCCAGCTATACAGCCAAGCGGAAATAACTTCCTGGTTGTCCAACATGGCGAGTGTGGGGATATTAACCTTTTCCTGGTCACAGCTTGCTGGTTACAGCTAATACTCGGCGTCACTTTATGTTTCCTTATTTAATGTACATTGTTCTGTAGCCCATCATTGTCATGACGCTGCCGTATTGTGAAGCATTGTTGCCACGGCCGTTTAACCCTCGGCAGTAACTTACAACACTGATCACTGCTCATGGACCAGTTAATGGCATGTGTAAAGGAGAGTAAGATTGCATGGGACGGTGATATATACTATATAAACGTAGTGTTAGTAAACATATGTTATATCTTCAATATAATGACATGACACAAAAGTTGTCATGATAAAATATTCATCACTGTTGAAAACAATAGAAATGCAATTCCCTGACAAGTATGGATCTGAATCTAATTACGTGGGTATAGTCAAACACAAGTCAACTTTATTGACACTGAATATGTCCTGAACTAACGACAACTCAATCACGAGGTAATGTAACCTAGTAATGTGACGTTATGAATTTTTACATCACCCAAAACTCTGTGGGAACTTTTGTTTTAGGTTTTAGTTAGTATTAAACTTATCATTACGAGAAATGTAACTTATAGAATGAGATGGACATTAAGTAGACTATGTTATTACTGACAAAGTTGTTTTGAGCTTAAATGAATTACCTTCACCACTATAAAAGCCAACTGTTGTTTTTGGAAATAAAATGTCTAAAGTAACAAATTTAATGTTACAGTCCAAATGGCTAATAATATAAGTTTGTACATACATTGAAAAATGGTTATATTTACTAAAATGGTGCCACAACTATTGATAATCTATATCTTTAATGATATATTTTCAGATCATATTTACTGTCAATTTTGACAAATTGTCCTTAACCATTGAAAATAGACATGTGAGTATATCTATGCTCACCGCGTTTACTTACACATATCCATGGATCAAAGAATGAATATTTTCTTTGAGTTTGTCATTTAGGATAGTGGTGTACACGGTGTCGTAACACAGTCGTTCTGATGAACACGTCTTATGAGTCGGTTGTCGCACATGGTCGACCAAATCGAGTTTTATCATCAACGTTATTTGCATGTCGATATCGTGATTGTAACTCAATAATTACCGACTGATTAATTAAGAGCTCATACCAACATATGTCCTGCTCCAAATTCCAACATGCCGGTTGCACGTAGCGTAAAAGACGCAGCACGTCAACAAACGTTTAACTGAGTTTGAAACAATTTCAAATCAACTTTCAGTCAGGTTTTTATCTCTGAAATGTACACGCAACCATTAATAACACGTTTCACGGATGTTCACGTGGGCATAAATTGGAATGTTTGCGCGAAATTCATAACACGTTATTAATGAAATAATCCATGTATAAACCGTACATGTGGATTCCCAAATAGTATCACCCCAAAATGAAATGTTCCCTAGTTCTTTCACTCAATATTAAACGAATATAAACCCCTCGTATTACAGGTTAGCTGCCATTTGAGGGCTTACAAAAATGATACACTATCGCATGACGTTATCACTCTTTGGTCATCCTCCATTTTTACATGATTCATGTTTATCAATTAAAGCGTCATCAACGTCGGGCACCTATTCATTACAACTTTGTTTAAATGTCCAGTTAAGAAATAAATAAATAGTCAGTCAGTCTACATCAATAGAGGATATCTGCCAAAAGTAGAGTCGGCGGTAAATATGGACTACGCCATGCGCATGTTGTTTATGTGTTGATACTAGGTGTTAGCGAAAAGGTAAGCGTATAGGTAGCACTAGTCAAATATATTTAAATGCTAGTCAATGGTTCAGTTGCAAAAAACATACACGGAAACTTAAGGTTCGTCAAAATAGGCAGTTCCATAATTGTCTACCTTACAACATTTGAAAGGCTTGTAGCAGTTGAATGTTGTAACAACGTCTGAATCTGAGTCTTTGAAATCCTGGTGAAAGGATCATACTTGATTGTACTTTGACTGTTTTGAAACATCAGTTATTGATGTATCACGTAATTTTCGAGCTATATTCTGTATGAATCATTGAATATGCCAGTGCATACAAGAACTATTTACTGAATATTTAGATTTGCCGTTAGTAATCACGAACATGTATGTCCAAAAGGAACATGCCTCACCAGGAACGTTTGGTCAATCTTGTCTCTACTCCCGTCACTGTGGACACCCTGTAACCAGAAGTCTGGAGTTTGTGTCGGTGACTGTGACTCTGCCTGGGTTGGAGGACATGGAGCTAACTGTCAGAAAGGTGTGATGTTAACATCTGTATATTTTACTGAATGAACAACACTATGTATTTGTCCACTGCTTAATGTTTATAATAAGCACATTTCATAGTCACCTCTATATGTATATTAAACAACAGAAAGAGACAGCATGTCATAGATACCAGAAGAACTGCTTGGAGGAATAGTTACTTTATTTGTTTTGCCAAAACAGAAAATGTTGCCTACAGAAGAACGGCCTCCTCCCCTACTCGGCTGTATGTAGACTCATGGTCTGCGGACATAGCTGTAGATGGGAACAGGGACCAGAATGTGTACCACGACTCTTGTTTCCACGCAGCTGACAATACATGGGGTTTGTGGAAGGTGGACCTAGGAAAGCAGTACAGGATACATGATGTCAAGATATATCAGCCATCGCACTGTAAGGATTTGACTAACTGAAATTGACTACTCTAATATTGAAATGTTCACGTTATGTATTGCTCTCATTTTGACAAATATAGGTTACAATTGTTCCTTTGCGAAGGCAAGATTCAGGATGGTTCATTGGGATAATGCCTAAATAATAGCATTCACATGATTCTGGTGCATTCTTACATCTTATGTTTCATTGTAAATGTCAGAACTGTGACAAAATACAAACACACTCTCTTAATCTTCACTTTTTGTCCTTTGTTTAATGTACGAATACAAATGTCACTGATGAAATTAAGTCTGTATAAATAATAGCTGGTCGGTCTTCCTTCGGTAACTTTATTTCAGACCCAGCAAGAATCCGGTCTTGTGTGCTGTACTTAAGTAACACGAGCTCCTCCACGGGCCTCCCTTGCTATACCTTCTCATCCGACACCCCTGTCAGAAACGGCGGGATGTACAGTGCAACATGTGATGGCATTGGAAGATATTTCAATCTCGATATCAAACACCACATACCCTCAATCTCTGTGAGGTCGAGATATATGGTATGGGGTTATTAAATTTCTTCAGAGATAGATACAAGTTCAATCATTAGTTAGGTGTTGAAAACAGGCCACGATCGGCAGATATGTGAATATAGGACTGGGTGTATACATCTGTCAACGATACAGGACACACATATATACGTTTGCCATGATCGGACACATATCGACGAATATCAGATATGGACATTCAGTATATGTAATGCATATGTAATCTGTATATGTAATATCACTTTGTCATGGGTGACGTGACGTCTTGAACAATGCTATTGCGTCACGTTTCTTCTATGACGTTGCGTTCCTAGACACTCGTGCCTAAATATATCAGCATATCCCTCGCCTCGCTCGGGAAATACCAACATTTAGGCACTATTGTCGTAAACATAGTATGACATTGGTTCTCATATAATATCCTCTATTTATTATTCTCTATATCTCCTATTTTCAGTCTGCAGCCCAGGATTGTTTGGTGAAACCTGTAATAGATTTTGTCACTGCGCTAAAGAGGAGTGTGACCATGTAAGTGGTGTGTGTCCTGGAGACTGTAGACCGGGCTGGCAGGGCGACAGGTGTGATACAGGTGAGGATATAGTATGAAGGAGGTTGATGTGAGGTATGTCAGGAGATTCATACAGTGGTGTCAGTCATGTAAACTGTAGACCAGGGTGGCGGGGAGACAGGTATGATACAGGTGAGGAGATCCAGTCAGTGGTGTCAGTCATGTAAACTGTAGACCATGGTGGCGGGGAGACAGGTGTGATGCAGGTGAGGCGATTCAGTCAGTGGTGTGTGTCCTGGAGACTGTAGACCAGCGTGGCGGGGAGACAGGTGTGATACAGGTGAGGAGATCCAGTCAGTCAGTGGTGAGTGTCCTGGAGACTGTAGACCAGGGTGGCAGGGAGACAGGTGTGATACAGGTGAGGAGATCCAGTCGGTCAGCGGTGTGTGTCCTTGAGACTGTAGATCAGGGTAACAGGGAGACAGGTGTGATACAGGTGAGGAGATCCAGTCAGTCAGTGGTGTGTGTCCTGGAGGCTGTAGACCAGGGTGGCGGGGAGACAGGTATGATACAGGTAAGGAAATCCAGTCAGTGGTGTCAGTCCTGGAGACTGTAGACCAGGGTGGCGGGGAGACAGGTGTGATATAAGTGAGGAGATCCAGTCAGTGGTGTCTGTCCTGGAGACTGTAGACCAGGGTGGCGGGGAGACAGGTGTGATACAGGTGAGGATATAGTATAAAGGAGGTTGATGTGAGGTATGTCAGGAGATTCAGTCAGTGGTGTCAGTCATGTAAACTGTAGACCAGGGTGGCGGGGAGACAGGTATGATACAGGTGGGGAGATCCAGTCAGCGGTGTCAGTCCTGTAAACTGTAGACCAGGGGTGGCGGGGAGACAGGTGTGATACAGGTGAGGAGATCCAGTCAGTGGTGTGTGTCCTGGAGACTGTAGACTAGGGTGGCGGGGAGACAGGTGTGATGCGGGTGAGGCTATAGTGTAAAGGATGTTGATATGACGTACTAGTATGTCAGGAGATCAAGTTAGTGGTGTGTCAGTCCTGGAAACTGTAGACTAGGGTGGAAGAGAGACAGGTATGATCTTCACAGGTTTTGAAACAGGTGAAGAGAATGTGTCTCAATCGAATGAATTCTGATACAAAAGTATATTTCCTGAACCGATGAGGGTAATGTAATGTCTGTATACAAATGAAATCTTATTTATTCCAAATTTATTTTCTTTTGAAAACTGCTTCAAAGCGCTGACCGTGTGATTATAACAAGAAGATTCATACAACATAACATCACCATTATTTTGACTTCAGAACACCCGGATAGCATAAACATTGATGTCGATTGCTTGAAATCCCGATGTGATCGTTTGACAAATGCTCAAATTGTGTTTTTCCCTGTAGAATGTGATGCTGGTCACTACGGAGTCAACTGTGTGAACACATGTACTAACAGGAAGTGTTTTGATGTCATATCGTCATGTGATCGCCACATCGGGTCATGTGACAGGGGATGTCTTCCTGGTTGGAGAGGTGTGGACTGTACACAAGGTACGGGGCGGTGGGATAGCATAGTGGTTAAAGTGTTCGCTCGCTCGTCACGCCGAAGACCATGGTTCAATTTGTTAAGCTCATTTCTGGTGTACTCCAGCCGTGATATTCCTGGAATAATGCTAAAAGCGACGTAAAAAACCATACTCACTCACTACACAAGGTACATGCTGACATCTGTTATTTAAATCACAGAGTACTCCAATATTTATCAATATGTGATATGCAACTCACTACCTCACGTTCATTTGACGGGATATTACATTTTAGTCACAATTTACTATTGAGAAAGTATATGCTTGAGTCGGTTCTTGGAGTGCATGAGATCTATTCTGACAGGGACTCAAAATAGCGTAGATCTGGAATGAATGAGGAGTTGTAGGAATATCTATAACTTCATGTAAAACATTTGACTAGTCGGTTTAATTGAACGTTAACATATAGGGGCCCTGAATATCATCTTCTGTTTTCAGTGATTAGTATGTCCTTTTGTATTGTTATTGCCTTATTCTATATTTTTAGTAATAAATGTGCTGCAATCTCTTCAGTGACATCTGTTTGAATAATCCTGCAACTGTGTGCACGTATTTTTTAAAACACTGAAAAGCTTACAGTTACAAAATACTGTGTCCTCATTGGTTGTTGAAGAATGGGCGAGCCTTTGTTGCAGTATTGCATTGCTCGATGTCACTACTTTAGTACTGATGTTTGTGTTACTAATTGAATAAGGGAGTAAGTCAAGGTATCATTGACATACGTATAATAATCAATTACAATATCTGCTTCTGTTTATACAGTAAAAGCACTGTACCCATTAGGCGTATATATACACATTTTGCACTTCGGTTTCTACGTTTATACTTCAATTAAAGTCATAAATATCAAAGTAAATTCTCATGCGATTACAAACCACTGATATGCAGGAGCCGAACTAGTGATAATCAGCGTGCATAACTGAAATTTAATCGTACACTAAACGTGTTAAGTAAGCCATAACACATAACGATTACACATGTTTTCCCCTACAGAATGTAGCAGCGGAACCTATGGTCAGTACTGCAGCATGGCGTGTTCAGATCGAAAATGTGCAGGAGATTCGTCTTGTGACCATGTGAGAGGAACATGTATTTTGGGATGCGTTTCTGGATGGATGGATGAAGACTGTAATGAGGGTAACGGCACATTTTACATATCAACACAGCTTCACGTGTTAAACACACGTGCAAACCTCCAGAGATGTTCTATTGTTCTACATGTTTTGTTACTTTAACGTTATTGCATTATAATATAAATATAAAATAATATATAAGTAAGACACCACTTGAAATTAAAGAAGTTGTTAATGGTCGTCGATACTGATAGACGTAGATAAGCACAAGGCGATCAGTGGATGACACAACTCCATGTAACCTAACCCTATGGCACGATCGATGAATCACGTCATATATACATCAGTTATTTTGTACTGTATTGCTTGACAGTGTTTGTATGTGTTGTAAAGTCTGTGACTACCAACATTACCGAGCTAACTGCGCTGAGGCCTGCGCCTCAGACACTGTATGGGGAAATCTACATGGGGATGTGACTATGGGTGTGAGACAGGGTGGACAGAGACTGACTGCAGGGGTAATATTCCCCTCTGCAGACATTTATGACTTAATGAGTGTCATGTGAAATCAGGACAATCATAACAAAGGTTGCTTCATTTTCTGTAGGGATGTCTGTTTGAATTAAGTTTACAGGATATCTAGATCTGCTTGTATAATTGTATCATGTCTCTCTCAAGTATTAAGGTGAAAAAAATATGATTTAGGTGCCTAAAAGTAACCACATTCACCGAACTGTAAACTCTTTCGCCAAAATGAAACTACTAAGCTATATGTATTTGCAATAATGTTAATTCACTAATAATGTTCGCCAAATGTATACAAAAGTATTAATGTATCATCGATAACGGAATATGCGCTGTAACCGTTCACACAAAGAGATGCCAATATATAAATGTTGTGACAGATATATGATTGTCTGTGTTCAATCAAAGAACAAATAGTGTCTGCAAAGGAAACAATTACTTAATTGTCAAAGCACGATATTATTCGTAATGGGCCTAATTGCCATTGCAGCTAAAAAGTGTTATTTCATTTCCATTGTCTTTACTCCAGCAAAACAAACCACTCAAGGGGAGGAATACTTACTTACTTAAAACAGACCATACACGGAGACAACATCGAACTGTAAACTTCAATTCCACTCTTTTGACCATATAAAACCATTTGGCTGGATGTCATTTCACTGATACTTTCGTCCAAATGTTTGTTTCGAAACTTCTATCTGAATTCAAATACAAGATTGGAAGATATCATCGGAATATGCACTTCACACAAAGAGTGTGACAATCGGACGAAAATGTAGAAGTGCTGTGAATGATATTTCCAACCAAAGAATAGACAGTGACTAAAACATGCTGTTAATTGTCAAACCACGGCATACCACTGACCTAATATTATATTATATTATAATAACCTGATATAGCATTTGGCAATTATCTTAAAGTATTATCTTAAGAACCGTTGACTAGATTCTTTCGTATTTGGTGTCTAGGTTCATCACAGTATAAGAAAGGTCCGAGTCAGGTTTGGTGACCTTGACCTTCATTTCAAGGTCACAAGGGGACTTTAATGTTTTACTCTTTCCAGCGAGATATCTCAAAAACCTCTCACTAGATTTTCTTCATATTTGGTGACCTTCACGTAATTTTCAAGGTCACAGCGATACTTTGAAGATTTCAGCATGTTAACCTGAATTCACTTGATTTTCTTCATAGACTTTCAAGACTTCCCTTGAATGTTTTTCAATAAGCAATTTCTTTAGTACCATTTTTGCATATTTAATACACTATGACATTCATGTCAAGGTCAAAGTCAGTCTTGAAAATATTTGTGTGTTTGAACAGCTAAAGAGAAGATATCAAGAGAGGTTGACTGGTCAAGTTTTTGTTGACATTTAACTTCATCTTAAACTTTCATTACTTTTTAAGTTTGATTTGATCATTTGCGGCGGGGAATTATGTCACCTAAGTGACAATGTTTGTTTTCATTAAGGGTAAAAGTGTTGTTTCGGTTCCAGCGTCTTCACCTCAGCAAGACAAACCAGTGAGAGGGGAGGACAGACTTATACCTGCAGTGACAGTGACAGCAATCGTTGTCGCTGTAGTTGTAGCAGTTGCCGTCGGTTTTATCATCTGGAGAAGACGAAGGTAACGGATTCCAACAATATTCAATGATCTATTACATTCCCTGAACATGAGCGGTGATATAACGTGTAGAAAAAGAAAAGGAAACTCGATAGTAATGCAATTACACTATTTGTGTTTTAACCTAGGGTTTTGATATGAAGAGGCATGAAGTAATGTAGAGACGGTTCTGCTGCTGATTGTTTATGTCTACTTTATGTTTCAGGCCAGCATTGCAGGAACCTGAATCTCACGATTACTACACCACAAGTCATCTCTCGAAACCTGAAACAAACCAATCACCAGAAAACGAAGCAACTAACCTTGAAGCAGGAACTTATGAGTGCGTCAATGGGATGTCAGATAACGCCCAAGGCTCTGCAGAGACATATTGCACGCTCAACACAGACAAGCCAGGCGATGGGGCATCTGATGAAGTGGCGGACAAGGAAGATGACGACATATACGAGCCAACAGAGCCACGGACATATGAAACGCTTGACAGTACTTCGCGTGACATGGATGGTGACTATACTAAATTGAATAACGATGTTAATACGACCTAATACTTTCTCTCACACGAGCTCGAAGAGGACAGCTATTTCAATCTGGTCTCGTATCTCTATCAATTGATAGAGGTCTAGTTTTGTCGCTTTGTTGTTTAACGCCACATACAGCAATAATCCAGCTGCATGGCGACGGTCTGTAAATAATCGAGTCTGGACTAGACCACCCAGTGATCTACAACATGAACATCGATCTACGCAATTGGGATATGATGATATGTGTCAACCAAGTCAGCGAGCCTGACACCACGATCCCGTTAGTCGCATCTTACAAGCATCTTCTAACCCGGATCTTCACGGGTATTTGATTGAGATCTTGTGTGGACGATATAACACCATTGACATGTGTAATCATACCATTGACATTGATTATCGGCATGTACTTCAGACATGTATGTCGCCATATTATCATGTTACTTTGTAACACTAGTATTCGATTCCATTAGTATACTTTGCTTTGATAGATATACTTTTAGTTGCCTATGTCGTCATCCCACGTACCAAAATCCAAACCTGTTTTAAAACATAATTTACACCGTCTTGGTTGAAGATTTGAGGTTGTCGTTTTGAGACGACATCAAGTATGAAGTTTAACGAGATATTGACATTTGTGGATTGACACAGAAACTGAAGATTATAATAATTGCCATGTCTTGTTTTGGGAAGAAAATGTTCTCGTTGGCTTGCATAAGACGTTCACTCATATAATCGTCTTTGGTTACACAAGGAGAAATGATAAAATATGTGATAAAAAGCAAATATAGGCATATTTCAATATCATGCACCTTGTATAAAGCAACCTACTAAAACCATTAGGATGTAAGGACACGGGAGATGTATTTACGCACGCTGCCAAATGTTATATAACAATTAAACTATTCGTAGTGTATTTCTTGATATTCAAGCTCACATAACAACACTTGTCTTCACTATTCCCAATGTTGATATCCATGCATCCTTTTTGTATTTGTATTATAAAGCAATATCGACGCAATATTACGGAAGCGTAGCAGGGCCACGGTGAAAATTTTTTGGGGGGTCACTATCTCCGACGTAGGACTTAGTATCTCCTATGTAGGACATAGTATCTCCTATGTAGGACATACTATCTCCTACGTAGGACTTTGTATCTCCTACGTATGGCATACTTTCTCCTACGTAGTACTTAATATATCCTTTTAAGGATGGTTATTAAATTGAGAAATGTTTGGCTATGCAGGACGTTAGATAGTTGAAATGTGAGTCAGTGAATATTCATGACACTAATACAGTGTTACTATACAGTGTTATTGTGTGTGTGTATTACGTTAGGGTGACGTGGACCCTGTTCTAACTGCAGTTATGGAGGTTTGGGTATGGTTATGTTTAATCTAGCATACATACATCTATTCACACACACAAACACACACACACACACACACACACACAGAGGTGGGTGGGATGGTTGGGAGGTGAGGTTGTGATATGAAACTCGGGTTATAACACGACCTCCGCAAGTTGTTGCTGGTCCTGATGGGGCTAGGTTGGATCGGATGCAACGCTCGTTTGCGGATTTTTTCGTAATTGTTTACAGGTTGACTTGACTGGGGTGGACAAGTGTTGAGTGCGGCGTAAAACAATACAGAAATTCAAAAGGCAAAAGAATTGTCATTATAGTTATTTGTATAAATATAAGGGGATACGTACACATAGATTGCCACCGATAGTCTAAGAAACGTGTGTACACGCAGATTATGATTCATGTGCAACGACCTCTGAAATTTCCAATGCATAATAGTAAAGTGTAACGAAGTGCAACATATAGCAGTGAACTAACTGCAACGCGTAATAGTAAACTGAACGCAAGGCAGTAAAAAGTATAACATGACTCTAATAGCAGAAGGAAACAGTAGACTCTAATAATAAATTGAAACACATGATAATAAACTCTAATAGTAAATGAAACACATAACTGTAGACTCTAATAGTGAATGAAAGGAATGCCTGTAGACTCTCACAGTGACTGAGACAGTGAAACAGGAGATTGTGTGCGTGTCTGGAGATACTATGTCCTACGTAGGAGATAATAAGTCATACGTAGGAGATACTAAGTCCTACGTAGGAGATGATATGTCCTACGTAGGAGATACTAAGATACTAAATCCTACGTAGGATATATTAAGTCCTACGTAGGAGATACTAAGTTCTACGTAGGAGATATTAAGATCTACGTAGGAGATACTAAGTCCTATGTAGGAGATACTAAGTCCTACGTAGGAGATGATATGTCCTACGTAGGA